GCCCATCTGACCCCCCCCCCCCCCCCCCCCCCCCCCCGGGGGGGGGGGGGGGTGCGCGTCCGGACGGCCGCCGGCGGGCGAGGGGCGGGGGCGTCCCTCGCCGGGACACGAGGGTGCGGAGGAATGCCCCTAGCCCCCCCTGTTTTCACGACCCGGGCTGGTCTTCGCGGCCCCTCGGGACGTGGCGGCGAACGGCCCGAGGGGAGTTGCCGTGGCGGCGGTTTCTCTTCGCCGCGGCCTTCGTGCCGCGCCACACGGAGGGGGCAGGAGCGCGCGTGCGCGCGCGTACGCCGCCGGCTCGCCCCAGGGCGCGGGGATATTACACAAACAGGGGGGACCCGGGTGGCTTCTTTCTGAGGGGTCAGAATGATGATCTGGCATTCGCTCCCGGCTCGGGCCAGCCCAACGGGTGCGTAGATTCTCCAGCTCCCCATCCCCCCGCGGCCGGGGGTGGGGGGGCGGGGGGACGGGGGGACACATTCGGCGCCGGCGTGTGCGCCGTTGTCGGCCCTCGGGCCCTGCTGTTCCCCGCCCTTTGCCTCGCCCCCAACGCCGAGGGGCGGGGGGGGCGGGGGGGACCAGGACACTCGAGGCCGCCGGGGCCGGCGCGCAGAGACCAGCGGACCTTATGTGTACAGTTCGCGCCGTCCTGCCCCGCGTACCGTGACTGGGCACCGTGCCGGCCTCGCGGCGCCCGCCCCCCCGACCTGGGCCGACTGAACGGCGGTGGGGGGCGGGCGGGCGGGCGGGAAGGGGCTTGTACGCGCACGCTGCTGTGCCTGGGTAGGCGGACTTCCAGGGGGAGGTGGGCGGGCAGACCGTTCATGGCCCCCGCCGCCGGCTCAGCCTTTCCCCCGGACACGGTGCGCTTGCTGTGGTGTCTGCGCGGTCCTGCGGCCGGCGCGCGGGCCGTCCTCTCCCTGCGCGGCGTGCCCGCATGCTCCCTCCTCCCCTGGGGGCTGCGAGGACGACGGCCGGGCGACCCTGACTTTCTTCTTGATTCCCGGCACCGGGGCACGCTGGGACGAAGGGGCTGGCGCGGGTGCGCGGGTGCGCGGGTGCGGGGTGGCAGTGCGATGCCGTCGATACCCAGACGCGGCGGGACACACGCGTGCACGCGTGCGCGCATGTCTCCGTGCGCCTGTGACCCCCCCCCTCGCAGCGGGGCCTCCAGCCGCAGAGCCCGGGTCCGGGTCCGGGTCCGGGTCCGGGGGGGGGGGGGGAGGACATAGTCCGTCCCCGGTCAGACACCCGGCGCCCTCGAGCCGAGGCAGGGGCGGGGGAATGCCACAGGGGCAGGCGCGGGGCGGGCGGGGCCCCTCGGCACCGGTGCCGTGTGTATTCGGGGATTGTCGTTGCCAGG